CTGATAATAAGGACAGAATCTGGTCTTTGAAGGACAGAAAATCACAAAATACAATTTCTAAGTTCTCTGCCAAGTATAAATTTTGAAGCACAAGGAGGAAAAATGAGAAATCATTGGAAAACGAATCCTAAAATACAAGAGTCTGTAACTCAAGAGGAGACATAAGACACAACAGAGTGTGTTGAAGAGTATTAAAAGTTGTTTTTGTGAAGTTGTGAAGCAACAGGATGAAGGGGCATATTTAAAGCAACACTTTTTCCATTAAGAGAAAGGAACAAATAATGACTGAAGTATAACACCCACACTGCTGGATAGAGAAGTATCTCCAGTTGAATTGTGCATGAATTAGCGTCAACAGTCAATGAATTTTTAGCAAAGGAGATAAACAGCAAAGGCAGCCGGTTCAAAGAACTTGGTATCATCTACCAGGTAGAAAATACTAATTTTTAGGAATTCCTTAGATGACTGAATTTGTTGAAGAGAGTGCCACTGAGTTTCAGTATGGGAAAATACCACATAAAAATTGTTCAGAGAATAATGTTTAGAAGATAGTGAGGTCCAGAAATAACCATTAGTATTTCTGGATGATAGTAAATTAAGGTACTACTGAGGCCAAAATGGCCAATGAAATATACAGCACTGTAGGTTATATAATACAAAAAAACCCTGATTTTAACTTTGCATCTAAAATCATGGTCTCTCTATAAGCCATACTCCAGGAATTTTTATTCTTTTGTTAATTCATAACAGAATGGAAAAAGGCTTGGAAAAGGAAATTTAAAAAACATTTCTTTATCATTGCAGTATAAAAAAATTAGAAGTATCTTCATTTCAACTATATTCATTTCAACCTAAAAAGAAACAAGGACCGAAACAAGAGTATGATAAAAGGCCACGAAAATACTCAAAGAATGGAGCAAATACGGACAGTCACCAAATCCCATAGCATTAACACTAATAGCTGCCAAGCCTATAAGTTAGATTAGTACTAACTAAACCACTTTTCAGAGAGTAACAGTAAACTTAAAGAACTACTATATAATTAACAGAACAGACAGTGGCAAGATGACCTGCAAATAAGACATCAGGACCAAAAACTGAGCTGGCTGGACCATGAGCCTGACCACTCTGACCAATCTCTCACACCAAATAGTTGTTCACCAGGGGGATAAACATCTCAGCTCTAGTCATTCAGACTGTCATTAGTTAAGCACTTTTCAAATACTTAACACAGGAAAATTCCACTTACACAGGAAAACTCCATTTAATAAAAATGTAAAGTATCAAGATCTGCAAGACAGAGATATACGGGTAATCCCTTGCTCATAGGTATGTATTCGCCTACATGAAGAATAAGTATGTATATAGGAAATTTGCACACCAAGTCTGGAGGCTAAAGTGAAAACCCTCAGGGCAACACCACATCAAGGTCCTTATAAACAATCTTCCTGCGCCTAGAAGACATGTTTACAACAATCATGTCTTACTTTTGTCATTTTTCTCTGTTTCAAATACTTCGAAGAAGGCTTTTTCCAGGATTGCAATGGTCTGGGCATCCATTTCATGGGCTCTTTTCACAGGCTCTAACAGTCTCAGTCTTCTGTTCTCCTCCCTGAGGGAATGATTTTCCATAGCATATTTTGCCACTCTGGGGTGGTGCTCTATCTGTGACATGGAAGAATTAGAGATATATATTTACAAACGTGACCATTTTAGAGAACAAGTTTTCGTGAAAACCAGCAGAAAACACCGTGGCCACCACAGGCACTAGAGAGCACCTCAGTTTTTACGATCAGACTGAACATGTGCATATCCTACAACTCTCAAGTCTACGTTTGGGTCTGAAAATTTGAAACTTCTCCATCTACTCTTGAAACTCACCCAGGCACCTTCGATGTAAGCATACGGGGTGTACCCTGTGGCGGACTCTTCATGCAAAGGAGACTGCTTCAGTTAACACGCTGAAAATAATAAGAAAATTCTCCACTGACTACAGTGGAATGCCTCTCAAGATATATTAAATGAAAAGGGCGAGGCACAGAAAAGTGTATATGGTCAGCTGTCTTTTGTGCACAAAAAGGAATAAAAGCCAAAATATCTGTACTGGTTTGAAAATGCATAAAAACCTCTTGAAAAACGTATACTCTGATAAGAGATTATCTTTGTTTCTTAATGATGTGCCTGGTGTCAACTATTCATCCTCCCAGGGAAAAGGAAAAACAACAAAACTTTGATGAGCTCAACTGCAGACTGACTCTGATAAGCCCAACCGCCCCCTGGAAGGAACTGTACCCGGCCTGCCGGGGCTGAGCGCCATAGCAGCAACATCACAACTTCCTCCATCTTCCCTTCAGGTTTTACTATTTTAGAAAACTGGGGTGTGCGTGTGTGCCCACGCATATAGTGGGGTGGGGGGGTGTTTAAATTCTGTAATGATACTGTCAGTGCAATTCATTTAAAACACTTTCTCTTGCATTACAAGAATGTGCTGACCAGTCTGGTGACTGATTTATACTTGTCCTGAATCTCTTTTATTTATTTATTTATTTTTTTTTTTTTAATTTATTTTTTTTTACTGAATCTCTTTTATTTAGAGTTACTGTGAATGTCATGTACTCACTTGTTCTCGCAGAGTTTGAATCTCATCCCTCAATTCCGACAGCAAACGGTCCTGCTCCTCAGGCAGAAAACTTCCCCGGGATTCCCTGTGGAGCTTTTCCAGACGCATTATTTGATCCTCTCGGAATTTCACAATCATTTTATTCGACTGAATGAATTTTTCTTTTTTGAGGGTGAGATCTTCCAATTGCGTAACTTTTTCTACCAGAGACTTAAGAAGTTCAAAATTTGATTAGACATAAAAAAATAACTGGGCTTCCCTAAATTTTCACAAACCAAGCAACAAACACTAACTTCACATTTAATTGCAAAGTCAAAGTTAAGTGTTTCAGTCTTCCTTTGTTTTACTGACTTTTGCCATTTATTTCACTCAGAAAAGTTCCATACAGTGAAAGCCTAAAATATCTTGAATCCCTTTTACAGTAAAATTTCATACCTTCTTTTCCTGTTCAGATTTCTTAAAGAATAACATTGCCTCTCGGAAATACTTGATGTAGTTAGTCTCATCTTTGTCTGTAATGGGTCCAGTAAAAAAGAAAAGGAAACAGGAAAAATGTTTTATCTCTCAAGTTTTAAGAATAAGCAGTGAGCTGGAATAGCCTTGATGGACTGCTCTCTATTACTCTAAAAGAATCAGACTCTCATCACCACATGATGAATTTCAAATTAACTCGGTCTACAAATTAGCTATTCTCTAAAGAAAAGTAAGTCTCTGATATCCAATTCAGTAAACATAGAAAGATTACAAATGACAGAATCAGGACGTGGATCTGAGTGAGATTTACTAGTATCTCTTTTTTTAGCACTCATTAGATTAGGGATGCATTTTCAAAATTACTTCTACACTCCCTTCCCATCACATCTCACAGAACTCAGCACCTGCGGTAACTGTGACTTCAGTACCTGTGGTAACCATGTCTGGTTTCTACGCAGGTGAAATGAATAGGAACAGATACTCGTGGGAAATCTGGAGAGCTAACAGTACTGTGCCTGTCATCAGAGGGCTCTCACACTACATCCACACCAAGGTTCAGCTTAAAGGACACTGAGCTCATCTTACCTACGGTGTGCAAGCTTTCTGGTAGCATCTGCCCTGAGGTAAGCTGGGCCAGTTGCTCTTTGAGTCTCTTCACTTCAGCTTGGAGCTGGGTCACGTTTCCTTGTGTGTCTTCATTTACCACTGCCTGTTCAAGAATTTTTTTTTTAAACCATTAAAAGAATGCTTTTTGAGTCATATAGTCTTGTGTTTATATTTGTTTGTATGGTTTGGAGTGATGAAGACCAAACAGATTGACACTTACATCTCACCAAGAGTCTGAAAGCTTCCAGAATTGGTGTGCTGGAGGGGAGGGGAGGCTTCTTTTCCCTGTGCCATCACCCTAGAACCAGAGACTCTTTCCCTCCCCTCCCTATGCCCCACTAAACAGTAAACAGGTCTCTAATCTGTTTACGAGCCCTGGGCCCTGCTGGGCTGCTTCACTCCTGAAGTGAAGTGAAAGTGAAAGTCAATCAGTTGGGTATGACCCTTTGAGACCCCATGGACTATATATATATATATATATATATAGTCCATGGGATTCTCTAGGCCAGAATACTGGAATGGGTAGCCTTTCCCTTCTCCCGGGGATCTTCCCAACTCAGGGACTGAACCCAGGTCTCCCACACTGCAGGCAGATTCTTCACCAGCTGAGCCACAAGGGAAGCCCAAGAATACTGGAGTGGGGAGCCTATCCCTTCTCCAGGGGATCTTCCCAACCCAGGGATCTTCCCAACCCAGGGATCGAACCATGGTCTCCTGCATTGCAGGCAGATTCTTTACCAACTGAGCTATCAGGGAATCCCGGATCACTCCTGGGGTCAGCGTATATTCACCTAAAACCGCTTCTTCCTGTGACTGACAGCCCCACCCCGTGAAGAAGGGCAAACACCTCCCTGAGTGTCACCGCCCCCTGTCTTTGCTCACTAAAGAGGGGTGAGGAACTGCAGGGCTGGCCTGAGCTCCCCTGGCTCCACCCTCTCCAGAGAAATTCAACCCTGTGTCTTCCTAACAGCCCTCATAGAAGGCAGAGGTGGTCTGCCAACTCCATTTGTGTTCTATTATCACAGTAAATGCTCTTTCAAAGAAATGTCTTCTATTAGATGACTTCTAAGGAGCTCAAAGTCTCACAAAACCCACACAGTGTTAACAAGACTCGAGCTAACGAGGACTTCGCTGGTGGTCCAGTGGCTAAGACTCAGTGCTCCCAATGCAGCAGGCCTGGGTTCTCTCCCTGATGAGGGAACTAGATCACACACGCCACAACTAAGACTTGGCAGAGCCAAAAAAAATTTTTAAATAATAATAATAAAAAAAAAAGCCAAGAGCTGAGTACCAACCAAATCAAATACCAATACTCCAGAGTGAGGGGGAAATCTCTGACAGCCCGAAGCTCCCCATGTTCCTCTCTTAGGCTGCGTCTGCCCACTGGGAAGGACCGTTCACTCTAAGCCCCCAGTATCTGAGTCGCTTCCCCCTGGGAAGCTGCAGCAGAGGCCTCACCACTGAGAGTGACTAGTATAAGGTTCCTAGTTTTCTTCTTTCATATGTTAAGAAGTCATTTCCAGTTGGTTCTGCTTCTTAAGGACAGCCTCATCACAAGGCACTCCTATACACTATGACATCACAATCTCACATTGGTGATGTCATAATTCTAATTATCCCTGCAGCTTTCCATTTTCCAAAAACTTCTAATAAGTCCCAAGAGAAAGGGTCAGGAAATGCTAATGATTTCTCCTCCTTGTATTACAGATATCCCACAAAGAGATCATAATCCAATAAAATGAATGAATAACCAGACCCATACTCTTCTGACTTATCCAGTGGAAGAGCCATCATGAACCTCTTTACTTTTACCATGATGAGATCATCAGGAGTCTATTTTGTGGGGTAAGAATGACCACTGTCTCCTTTGAAAGAGAGAGGAAATTAATTTGCCAATATATACATTTTGATTCTTATGTTTAGAACCAAAGAGACCTCCAACCAACCTCTCCAAAACAGGTGGGGAACTCCTTGGTCTTTCGACAGTCTGCACCAGGGGTTAGCCAAGTGCTGCTTGACCACAGCCGTGCTCATGTGTTTACACAGCATCTACAGCTGCTTTCTTACTAAAAAAGCAGAGATGAGTAGTTGGGGCAGAGACCATACAATCCACAGTTCAAGAAGCTGGAACTATTTATCACTTAGACCCTTTACATGAAAACTTTTGGACCACTGATATAAAAGAATATCAAATAAACTTTTTTTTTTCTCTCTCTCTCTTTTTGGCCATGCTGTGCAGCATGTGGGATCTTAGTTCCCAGACCAGGTATCAAACCCATATCCCCTGTGGTGGAAGCAGAGTCTTAACCACTGGACTGCCAGGGAAGTCCCAAACTTCTGGTATAGAAAGAAAAACAAGGAATCCCTGGAGTTACAGACAACTTGAAAGACAAAGTTTGTCAAGGTCATCAAAATTATTTTCATAGTGGATCCTCTAACCCTCAGCACCCAGCTCTGCTAGCATGGTTTAGGAACATAAATTTAGTCTCCGGCCCAATTACAAAGGAAAAACTTTCCCTTCCCTTAAGAAAAAAACAGGCCAAACAATAATGACCATAAGACCTAATCTAGGTCTCAAATTACATGATCTATACAGAAGGCTAGGAAAGATGAAAACAGAAACCTTGCTTACAGTTAGGCTTTCACAACAGAGAAATAAATAAAAGCTAATGTTAATTTCAGGGCAATTACAAAAGCGAGATACTGCAAGCTTCAATATTTTTTAAATTTACTTCAATATACTCAGTATTTTACCTTATTTTTAATCAGCTTGGCTCTTTGAGCAAAATTAAGCGTTGACAGGGTTTCACCAAAACACCTAGATCCAGGATGAACATTTGCAATTATGACTGTTTTAGCATTACCTCCAAGGGAATCCTGTTTAATGATATAAACGGTACACATTTCAGGGGAGAAACCAAAAGATATGGCATAAACGAACCTGCCTATGAAACATAAACAGACTCACAGACATGGAGAACAGACTTGTTCTCTGTTGCCAAAGGGGAGGGAGGTGGGGGAGGGAAGGACTGGGAGTTTGGCATTAGCAGATGTAAACTATTATACATAGGATGGATAAAAAACAAGATTCTACTATATAACACAGGCAACTATATTCAATACCCTGTGATAAGCCATAAAGCAGAACATAAAAAAATAGAATGTCATAGTGAGCATAACCAAAAAAGGGGCTCAGGAACCCAGTGATCTACTTTACCCGGAGTAAGAAGGTAAGTTTGGAGTCTCTGTAGCAAATATGTCTCTGTTTTCCATTACCCACATCGACAAGCGCAGTAATCACCTGGCCCAGGCAGCTCAATGATCGGTTTATGTTACCTGCTTCCTACGGTGTTAGGGAAAAAGAACAAAAATTGAGGTGCATTGATTTCTTTTTAGTATTTTGAATTAAAATATACCTAGCAGGGTGGTAAGTTTGAATGCAAAGGCAAAACAGGGACAACATTAGTTAAGGGTAAGTAACTTTTCAGCAAAAAGATGTCCTCAACTGTCCCCTAACCTTTTCCTATTGAGGCACACACTGCAATTCTAATACTATTCAAATTCAAACACAAAAATCACTGAAGGAAAAAAATACTGTTACCAACTCATGATTGTAATAGCTTTCAACTGACCTATAGGCAGGGATAAAATCAAGAAGAGAACAGAGGAAAACACGTTAAAGTAGTCAATTATAGGCATATTTTTCAAGCCTTTTATGTTAAAATGTTTGTTACATTATAAAGGTATGGTAACTAACATCCCACTCCCATGTCCCACGAAGCTCTAAATGAACATATTATAGATAAGAGAACATTCATTCTAATTCTGTAAATTAGAATTTACATTTATCAAATGTATATTAGAATTTACGTTTATTATATGTAAACATAAAATTTCTTTAAAAGAGTAGTTTAGGGAGAAAAATGTTTGGGTTAAACCTTTTACTTTAGGCAGCATATTTTTGATAACTGAGTCTGCAGAGATGGGAGTATAGAAAAAAGAGAGGAGAAATGGAAATTATTAAGCAAGATGCACTGAGGTCAGAGCCACTGTTACCATCCTTAAAAGTGGTTTAGGGACACAGTTGTGAACACGGTCTGTGGGCTGGACTATTGCTTGAATCTCAGCTCAACTCAATCACGTGCCCCTGGAAAATTTACTTCTGTTTCTTCAAAATAGAAAGGATAATAGTATCATATCCTAGAATTCTTAGGAAGGTTAAATAGTTTTATATGAAGCATTTCAAATAGACCCAGCATTTATCCTATTATGAACACATGCTATTTTTCTGTTTTATGTCACCACAGAAACACAAATGTGAGACAGCCTGAAGCTGTCTGAGAGCTCACGAGGCTCAAATCCTCACTTTCAAGGTAAACAGCACACTCTCCTCACCATTTCTGAGACTTCACTATCTGCACCCACATATCCTAACACGGAGAACCCACACATTCTGTTGACAGTACATGTTACAACACAGATGCATGTGTGCTCAGTCGCTTCAGTGGTGTCCAACTCTGAGACTGTATGGACCGTAACCTGCCAGGCTCCTCAATCCAATGGGATTCTCCAGGCAAGAATACTGGAGTGGGTTGCTGTACCCTCCTGCAGGGGATCTTCCCTGACCCAGGAATTGAACCCACATCTGCACTGCAGGCAGATTCTTTAACCAGTGAACCACCTGGGAAGACCACAATACGTATATACATTAGTAATTCATATTACTGAGACCCTCTGGTAATGCCTTAGCCGAGAATGAAGTCCTTAACCCTTAACTCAAGAACGACTTCTTTCCCACGCTTCCCCCAAGTAAGGGGCATGTCATATCCTTCCTCTGAACCCTGCTACCACTCATACCATCGGCCCTTTCGGGTGATAGTGAATTCAAATACTCTTGCTCCTGACACTTGTCATATCCCCTGTGTGTTTACTGTCCCTACACTACAACAAAATTTCCATACCTTTAGGATAGAACCAATTTCTTAATGCTTTGTAGCCATCAAAATACTGAGCTTGGTGTTGACTTCTAATTCTCAATTTGAATTGAAGACCGTGATTCCAATCTTACCTTTAATCTCATGCCTTCTGCATGGGTGTCCTTTTGCCTTTCAGATCCTGCCAAATCCACCAGATTGAGAAGGGAGGTCCGTATATTCACAGTTTCATGGCTTTTCTCCATTGATTCTATTGTAATTGTAAAGACTGCATGAGACCTAGAGGATTCTCTATTCATTGATGTCGATGCGACACGTCTGTTTCTCCACCCTCCAGACAACACCTAGGCAAAAGGAAAATACACGATCACAACTTCCACGTTTTCACAGCACCTACAAACATCAGCAGGAAATCTGTAAAGGGTGGTGCGAGGCTACTGGTCTACTGAGGAATATACGCAAGTACGCAAGCTAATTTTCCTTTCCCTTTCCTTTTTTGTTTCTTCTGTAGGTCATGAGACCGAACAAGCAGGAAATCAGAAGCCATAGGATCTAGAATGGGTTTTGCCATTTCTCTATTTGTATTAATGCAAGTCATAAAATCTGTCTAAACCCTTTTCTTAACCAAAACTATGAGAAGTCAGATAAAGTAAATCTCAAAATTACCTTCAAACCCAAAGCTTTGTCAGTCCTTTTGGTCTACATAGTATTTGTTTTCACTTCCTATTCCCTATGGCAGGCAGCCTACATGCTTCAGATAGCAGGCTTTAAAATCAGATGAATACCAGCTCAACTGTTGTCTCCACCATCTACCAGTTGTGTGGTCTGGGGCCAAGTGACGTTTCCGAGGCTCAGTCCCATATGTGTAAAATGGGAATATGGGTACCTCCCTCACAGTGCAGAACGTCTCAACTGTAATATGCACGCTAACCACTTGGCCCCATTAAAATTCAGATTCTGATTCAGTAGACGTGAAGTAGAGGCTGAGATCCTGCATTTCTAACAAGCTCCCAGGTGACACTGATAGTATGAGAACTACATTTTTGAGTGGCAAGGTCATAATATGTATTGGATAAATAAAGGAATTAGTAGCTTACCTCAAAAAGCAGATAAAAAATTAAATGAAATAATGTATACAAAGAAGTTAGTATAGGCTTCAGCACATATACTCAATGAATAGAGCTGTTATAACCCTATTAACCAGTCACGACATAAAAATGAAATTGTTTTTATCTTTTGTTTTTTGGTTAATAATTCATGCTTCCTTTTCATAACACCAAATACTGTATATTAAATATTAGATAAATAATGACATTTACACAGTTGCAAAGAGAAAGCGCAATCCTCACTCAAACATGAGACAAATTTCAAAATACTATTAGCTTAAAAAAAGTGTGGGACTTCCCCGGGGGTCCAGTGGTTAAGACTCTGCACTCCCAATGTAAGGGGCCCAGGTTCAATCCTTGGTCAGGGAACTATATTCTGCATGCCACAACTAAGACCCGGTGCAGACAGATAGAAGATAGTGAATGAATGGAATGAACAATACCAAACTAACCCAAAATCAAGGGGTCAAATGTCTATTTTAACAAAGGGGAAATTTATAAAATATGGTCATACTCTTTTTTTCTTTCCTTCTCATGAACATCCTGGCTATGGCTTTATAAAATATCTTTAGTAACACAAGTCTTTCTTTTTTTGAGGTCAAGGCGCTCTTCATAGCATACTATGTTGTCTACAGATCAAATCATTCAAAGCAGGGTACCTGATAGGCTTCAGCTGCTGAGGTCACCACCTGTTCTACCGCACCAACAACAAAGACCCCCTTCTTAATATGCTCCCTTATGTATAGTCCAGCTGATGCAGAGTCCAGTAGGTCATAGATGTGCTCATTGTAGATCTCAATAAATGAACACTTACAAAGAAAACTCTTTCCAGCTCCAGCCTGTAAAAGAGAAGTCTGGTTTAGTAATATTGTTTTCATGAGTTCATCCCAACCTTTCACAAGCACTCATCTTTCACTCACTACACAACATATAAATTTCCTACAATATTATCCTTTACACAATACAAGATACTTAAAAGTCAGTTTAAAAACATAGGTTACTAGTTTCAACACATCATAACAGTTTTAAGCAAGCAGCATCAAACGGTGGTCCCAGGAGTCCTGATGTTTCCAACAGTACCTCAGAACCAAGACAGGGAAGTAGGACTTGAGCATGACAAATGAGCAATTCCATTTTTTGCTTAACTGAGGTATAATTGATATAGAGCATTACACTAGTTTCAGGCATACAACATAATGATTTGATATATGTATATACTGCAAAATGATCATAAGTCTAGTTAACATCCATCACCATAGTTACATAATTTTTTTTTCCTTGTGATGAAAATAGCAATTCCATTTTCACCTGTCATATACTGGACTTCCTTATAAGTGTATCTGAATCAAGTGTTATATTTTTCAAATGACAGAAAATAAGGCATTTTAAAAGCCTCTTACAAAAAATAAACAAAAAGCCCTGCTATAGGATTTTTAACCACAGAAATGCATGTCACTAAATCTATTTCACTGGCACGTAATATGCTTGTCTAAAGGCAATGGTAAGAGATAGTTTCTGCAAAGGAGTTAAGTGGTAATCCAATGTTATTTATCAGTCTCCCTGGCACATAGGTAATAGAACACAGAACACTAATGGCTCTTAAGCCTGGAATTCACTAAGGTAACAATGCACAATGAAGAGAATGGCCCAATCTGGGAGCCAATGCAAAATGGAAGCCCACATAGCCAGGACAACGGAGCCACACCAAGTGTGAAGCAAGATCATGGTCAGATGGTAGCGGGTAAAGGAGGTAAAGACGGCCCATTAGCACTGTCAGCCTGGGTGCAGATAGGTGATATGGCTTCATGAGTCTGTTTTCCTCAGTTAAGATTTTCTTTACACTTTCTCTTTTGTAAAATCTGAGCATCTAAGAAGCACCACTTTCTACTTTGTTTTAATGTCAGGTCAAGGATGATGTCGTTTTATAGACTAAAAATCTTTAGAAATAGAAAACTCAGAATCCTTAATTTTACCTTGAGAACTGAAGGATTTTTTATACCACTCTAGCCTATCCACCTGTAGATGACCAATTATACCCCCCCACTTATCATGAACTATTAGTAGTTAACTACTCAAAAGTAGATATTGCAATTCCTTTTATTTTTACAATAAGTTTTACCTTCTCTTTTTCACGTTCAATTAAGGAAAACAAATATTCAAAACTTCGAGGGATTACTCCTCTCAGATTATGAGAAAAATTATCAGATTCAGATGGTCCTAAAGAAAAATATAAAAAATACAGATATGTAACTGCTTGTTTTTATTCTGTAACAGGAGTCCTTCAAAATGGCAACAGTGAAAGACAATTTAACAGAAAAGACACATTGTATAATCAGTTTCTTCTGGGCTCCCAAACAAGTTAATTTGTGGTAAGACACGGCATAAAAGAACCTGCCTATCAACAGGTGCATGATAGGCACTAAGCAATTTGAAAAAGCAGCTGCTGTTTGATAAATTTAAAAATCCATTTAAGTCCCAGGCTTGAAATGTTTCCTTCTGCAGATATCAAAATTAGCAGAAATAACAAACAATTATACTTTACTGTTGCATAAGACATTCAGTTGTCTAGGATGACCTTTATATACCTTTATATACTGGCAGTGTGGCCACAGGCTAATAAATACTTAATATTTTTGAGTTTTTCACTATAAAATGGAGATAATAATGGAAATAGTTAACTATCTCACAGGGTATAAAAATTAGTATTAGCTAGCATTTTCTTAATTGGGCAATAAAAGACAGGATGGTAACAAAGATACTGTAGGAATACTTCACAAGGTTTCTATACAGAGAGAAAACTGAAGAGGAATCCTACCCTTATTTTGTTAACAATGGGGAAAGGGGGAAATGTAGTAGATATGTAAGTAGTAGGAGTTTTTGGAATATTAATTCAAACTATCTATATTTACCAGAAAAAATTATATAGCTGTGAAAGACCTAAAAGTTACTATATACATTAGTTAATTATACCTTAGAGACCAAAGGAACTAAGAAAATGCTGGTGTATGCAAGAAAGCTACAGAAAATAAATTTTAAAATATTATCATCATCTTGATGTGCTATATCTAAAATAGATTAAATGGACCTTGTAAACTGTACCTTAAATATATGTATATATGTGTGTGTGTGTGTGTGTATGTGTGTGTATGTATATATATACAAACAGGGTAGAAAAATGAAAGTAAAGAACACAGAGGACAGAATATTAGAGTATGTGCAGATAATGTTTTAACATTTTCCTGCTAAATCCTATACAAAGATATTCAGCACACTTGTTGCAGTTACCTTACCACCTCTTGCCTAGTCTCCTGACTTGACTTGCAATCCTGCTTCTGCTCTAACCCTTTCTTATAGTCTCTACTCCATTCAGCTGCCTGAGTAGTACTTTTAACATCACTTCATGCAATGCTTCTTAAAACAAACAAACAAACAAACAAACCTTCCCATGACTTCACATCCCCTCATTAAAAAATCCAAAATCCATGACTTGCCCTCTGGCTACAATTCCAACTTGCCCCTAATTCTGGAAAATTCCACCCTAGCCCCATGTGTCTTCTTGCTGTTCCGTGAATACTTCTCAGCATACTCCCAACTCGGCGCTTGCCTGTGAATTTGCAGGGACAGGCAACCTGCAGAAGATTGTTCTCCTATAGTCTCAAGGTTCCTTCTCATTTCATTCAGTAAGTCTCTTCAAATGTCACCCCAAGAGGGCTCTCTGACTCACCAACCTAAAACAGTACCCTCTGCTCCTTTTTACCCCCTTATTTTTCCTCACAGCACTTACTACTGCTGCTGTTTAGTCACTAAGTCATGTCCAACTCTGCAACTCCATGGGCGGCAGCCCACAGGATCCTCTGTCCTTGGGATTTCCCAGACAAGAACACTGCAGTGGGGTGCCAGTTCCTCTTGCAGAGGATCTTCCCGACCCAAGGACTGAACCCACATCTTCTGCTCAGCAGGCAGATTCTTTACCAGTGAGCCACTAGGGAAGTCCACAGTACTTATTACCTCTGGCATAAGTACCAGATATTTATTTGCTTTCAATTGTACACCCCCCCCATGAGAATTATAATCTCCAAGAGAGCCGTGACATTGCCTTTTATTTGAATAGACCACCAGAGCCTTGAAGAGTGCCTGGCATATTTTAAGTACTCACTTATATGTATGTTGCTGTAATTTCAGAGAAAGGAAGACCTTTCTTACTAAAACTCACAATTCAGAAACCATTAAAAAAAAAAACCCTGAAATTCAACCATATAAAAATAAAAACTTTTGGCATAAGAAATAAGTAAGCCAACAGAAAAAAACTAGAGAAAAATCTGTCATCTATATCATAGACAAAGAGCTAACCTATTTTATGAATCCCCACAAATAAGTAAGAAAATGATAAGCTAATTTTTAAATAAGAAAAAAAGCTTGAATGAGTATTTAACATAGAGGCTATTTAAATGTTCAATAAATGTATAAAAGGTGGTCAATGGA